ACAAGTAACTCGGTGGACTAGTGAACGAATATCCTTTTAACTTCCACTTAGTTTTCACATAGAATCATTTAAACGCTTTAGCCTGTTAACTTCCTCTCTTGTCTCACGCTCTCTTCTACTTTTCGTGCATTTTTGATGTTAATGTCCGAGAACTATGTGCACAGGCCAGTTCATATGTCCTATGTGGTTAGGTAAAATGCACTCATTTCACCAATTTCTTTCGTGTTTTCCTAGGTGGTCGCAAGAAAACTGCTACGCGATCCCTTCGGAAGACCTATAAAGAGGCTAAAAGGTGATTGAACTTAGTATGAGTGCAAAAACATTTGTACTATACTTGATAACCCCCTGAGTTGTGAAACGGGTGCAACGTGAGTGTTTCGTAGCCGATCTTTCCTTCTCCACTCATCCTTTTGGTCTGTCTTTTGTCTAAGCGATCTGCTCAGCCTGCTAGCTCAGTATTTATATGTAAGGAAATGTTTTCTGATAGCTCACGATCAGTATTCATCTGTAAGGAAATGTTCTCTGATACCCTTACGCACACGCTGTCGCGGATAATTGCAGAGGCAAATCCGTATTAACCACATTTACAAAATACTTACAATTTATAAGTAAGTAACTACCGACGCAATGTGCCTCCGCGGGGAGCAGTCTGTCGGAAGGCCATTGGGACTAAGCCTAAGAGGGACGAATTCCGAAGGGGAAAAACCACTTACGCAGCTCAGATTCCGTCTTCTCCTCTAAAGATTAGTCCCAAAACGGAACAAATTCGTGAATCTGACACCAAATTTCCAGCTCCCCCCCCCCCGAAGCCTCATTGCGCTTAGCGGCCTAACAGAGTAACTCAGCACAAATATGAAGAATAGAGTTGCATATGAAAGTAAGCAGAGAACAATGCTTTCTTTCCCAGAAGCTCGCTTCAGTCTCCCTCAGGGAACTCACATCCGAGTTGTGTCGATGCAAGCCCACAACAACGTGTGTGAATCTCGAGAGGAGGACTGGTCTAATAACTCGCTTATCTGCAGTGTTATTCTTTCTAATGGGCGCGACAGAGATTCGCTGTAAGAGTAGTAACAGAACAGAATGAGGCACTTAACAGCACGAATGGAATAAGAGGTACTTGAAATAACTTAGCAGAATAAAGCAGCGTTCAAAAGCCGGTTGGAAACGTGCCAGGCCGCCGACGCCAGTGTGTGCACATATCCCATTCAAATTTCCGCGGCGGGAAGGTAATTCAAACCGCACTACCATGCGGAGAACAGATGGGATCGACAAAAGCACGGAGTTGCTCTATTGGGGCCGGGTGCAGCAAGCCCCAACGAGGTGATGGGGACCTATTCCCTCTCTCCTAGGCTAGGGATATGTCCCCCGATTTCGTCACAGAACCCATCACTTTTTGATGGGTCCTACGACGCGACCATGCAAAAACGGTCAGTGCCGTCGATTCTCCGCGTTGGAATCTGTGGGGATGAATCCGCTAATCTCGACTAGGGGGTTATATACCCTGCCGGCAGAGGCAAAGGGTTGACGGCGGTGACCGTTTCGCATGGTCGCGTCATAGGACCCATCGAAAAATGATGGGTCCTGTGATGAAAACGGGGATATATCCCCCCAAGTTTTGCGATATACGGTCGCAAGGTTTGGATCAGGTTACTCATTGAGAGAGGCAGATAATCCTCAACTTGGGCATTTCCCATCCGGGAGGATATATCCTTGAGATGTAAAGCCTTGGAATATAATCCCAACTTGGGAAATACCCCACAGCTCGGGAGAGGGATGGGTCCCATTCCGCACTTGTATAGATGACTACAGAGCCTCCTGAATATGCAAGAGAAATGACAAGTGCATTCTGCCAGTTATGGATTTGTCACGTGGTCCACGAATAGCACAACAATATAGTTTTCGGCATTATTGTCTTGTTGACGGTATTGTGTTTGATAGTTGGTAGTCCTGCCCACGAAATTTGGGTTCTGTGCCCAGCTAAGGCAGTATTTTGCTTACACACATCATCACTGTGATGTAGCCATACATTTTTCCGGTTACTGGGTGATACCTGTATTCTGCCTACCCTTCGAGCACTCCGAGAACGCTATCCTCTTCGATCTCATGGAGGAGTTCATTCCCATGAAGAAGTGCTAGGTCTAGTGGCATCTCTACCACAAGTGCATCATAGGTGGGCTGAATGTTGCTATGCTGAATTCATTTCAATCTATCTTTAAAGCCGAAAAAAAATACGAGGGAAACTGGAAGTCTACGTATCGTAAGGGTTTCCTATGATAGTTCATTGAAATGACTCCAGAGAGAGTCCGTGCCGTCCAAAAGCTAAAAATATGACTGCAAAAAGTGTGACATCTCAGTCTCTCTCATGCAACTGCTGCTGGGCCCAGAAGCACGTCACTTACAAAGGACACTGATATTTACTACATAGGGGGAGAAGGTAGCGTGGCAATATAAAAGATTTTCTTACTGCCTTCCAACTGCACCAAACGCACTTTGCTATATCCAGACTAGATGCTCCCAACTGGATTGAAAAGCAATATTAGAAAAATGATCCAACCACTCCATAAACGCCTGCCGCATGGGCGACCACATGAGCGAATTTAACAACAAAGGGAACATGGTATAAGGCTCAAAATTAGACAGTTGAACACCTTCTCTAGGTCAAACAAGGCAAGAAAACGGATCGACGCTTCCTCACGAACTCATCTTCCCTCTAGCACTGCACTCGGATAGCGATGGAGATGGATACTTGATAACCTCGCAGGCTGAATCAAGGCTGATCCTAGGATATAAATCAGATCCTACACCTTCGAGTCGACCAGCTGCTCTTACAGCCTCATGATACGAGCAGTCAACTTCATCGCGGTGGTTGGAGCAGTCCGTTAAGCCACTCTCCTGTTTGAAGTTAGAGACGATAGTACTTTTTCCAGGCATTCGGCGTCCTTCCTTTCGCGTAACGGTGTTGAGGAATTGAGTCGTAGGCCATCGTTATTTCCGCACTTCCAACATGCTTTGTCCAACCAGTTGGTGGCCCGATATGAAGGCGACCGCCTTCCCAAATTTACTTTCTCCTCTTGTCAGCACTCATCCTCCTTTCACACGTGAGATGAAGATCCGGGTCCGCCTCATGATGCGAAATCTCCGTAGGGGACTCCTCGTTAATGCACGAGTCGCACTGCACGTTATTCATTACTTCCACCTTCTTTTGACTACAGCTAGCTTTCTTAGCATGATACCGTTGCTGCTCTTCACACTCCTAACCATTCTCATGTCTTGAGTAGCCCGATGTCGAGCCTTAACTAGTTCCAAGAAAAATTTCTCCATGTTACGGCTCCTCGTCTTCTCGGACAAGGCATCCATTTTTGTACTCTTTGCCTTAGCGGCGACTGCCTCAGTCAACCTCTCCTCGCAATATGTATACCACCACAGCCGGAGGTCCTCAGGACTCCGAGTCTTCTACAGCGCTTGTTTGCTAACTTTCTCTTCCAGTGCCTCCTTGGCGCATCGTAGGATGATCTCAGCCGGAGTGCTCCAAATCCGTTGTACTGGCCCGCCAGCATCTGCGAGACCGACTTCTATTATCTACCGCTATGGGTCGTTTTTCTCCTTTCACTGCAACTTCCAACACCGGACCCTCCAAGCGGTTCCTACCCTTGTCGGCCTGGAGAGATCTATGGGATAATGTTTGCCGGGAGGAGAGCCAACTCTTCGCCATGGAAGTACCTTGATGTTCTTACAGTCACGAGTGATGAACATTTTCACGGGCACATAAGAAGAAAGAGTTCTATCGGAGCCTTGACGATACCATCAGATCAATTCCGGTGAGCGAGTACCTCACTATCTCACTTTCTGTATGCTTTCCCTCCCTCCACTGCTGTAGGTACCTCATCGTGAGCTTTCCCCTTTAAAGAAGAAACGTGCGGCGCCGCGATCGAGAGTCAGTTTGCTGTAGGGGGCCGGGTTTTGACTCTCCTATGTCATTCCTCGTATTTCTCGCGGCGAGCCCTCTACCTCAGTGGAACAGCTAAAAATAGAAAATAATTAAATTGAGATTACGATTGGAAGGCGACGATTGTGCGCCAAGTACACGTCGTACGCCAGTGCACGTGCTGACACTCTTCGCAGTATCCGCACCGTCCGCACAGACCACAACGGCGCAAAGTATGAAAGCAGTCTTACGCATCAGTACTGTAAGCTATGAAAATATAATTCGTCGAAAACATCAAAACGGGCTTCTGCAAAAATCTCGTAGTAGTTCGATTTTTTGATTTGTATTCTTTCTGAAGACGCTTGCTTATGTGTCGCTCACCGTAAAGAAAAGCGATCATTCGAATACGTTGCCCATGCTGTGGGAGTCTTAATGCCGATACAGTTCCTATGGATCGAATTGCAATCTGAAAAAAAAATGGTTCGAATTGATCCGATGCAGTGCGAGTCATCAATATGTCAAGTGAGCACCAGTTTGCATCAAAGCGTAGACATTTCCCTGGATAGGAAGTTTTATCACATCTCATTGTATGCGAGATCCCTGCATTTGGCTAATTTCATCTGCTGCTTATAAAAAATGTAAACACTCGCTCTGAGGGTTCAGCGTCGTTGTCGATACTTCTTCAAAGGCATAAATCACGCTGGCTCAGTTCACATATTACTTGTCGTGTGAGGGTATAGAGGGCGGGATCTCTTCTTGTTTTCAATTATTTGGAGATATCTGGCATATCTTACAGGTAGAAGCACAGTCCTCAATATAAGTTCTCCCACTATCAAGCTCCTGAACGGTGCATATTCCAGGATTCGATCGCCGGACCGTGCGGGTGGGAGGCAGCCCATCCGCACGGTCCGGCGATCGAAAACCGAAACCGAAACTGAAGCCATTTGCCACGACCCCACATCTACCCCATGTGACGTTGATGATGAGTGAAAAAGATTTTAAACTGCGATCAAAAAACCGCTAGCTAAATGAGTCATTCTACATAGACATATGTTACCCACTTTCTCTGACATTAGTTCCGGCGCAAGTCGTACCAATCTGGTTCAGTGCCGAATATGTCCAGCGAATTTGAGAAAGTCAGGAACATGCGTGCCATTATGTCGTTGTCAATTATTGTGCTCACCATAAGTAGTATAGTGGCCGACACACCAACACCTATCAGGTACATTACAAATGTTTCATTCGAGTGGGTTCGAGTGTGAAAGCTTTTTTTTAAACTTACCGAAACTGATCGGTGCGATACGATCAAATATTGTGAGCGCAGTTCCTTGAGTGTATTGTCCCAAAGTTAACTCTAGGTAGGTTATTGGGAATCCGATAAAAATCATACAGCAAATGAACGGAAAGATGAAAGAAACTGCAATCAGTTGATTATTCTAGAGCTAAGTTGTGGATCTCAAGCTCACAGGAACACTTAGATTAGAAAATAGTGGCGTAACTTCTTTAACTGCTTACGCACATCCCAGCCTGCGGACGGCATAATTGAACATCATGAAATTGGGAACACTTGCTACATAGGCCATCGCAACACAATAGAAGCCTAACTTGCTCAGTCTGAGGGATCGTCCAAATCCAAAACGTGAAAGCTTCCCAATAATAATCTAAGATATTGCAATCTAATTTAGCTAAAATGAGGAGCCTTGAATTCAATATGATTACCTTTTCTGCGTATTCTCTAAGTTCTTCTGGAATCAAAACCTCGATATCCTCTGATTCCGTGAACGAGTCATCGGAAAGATCAGAATTCTCGGCCACAGTTGCGGAAATCTCAATATTGCGTCTCCTTCTTCGTTTTCGTCGCCCTTCACGAATATGATATTAGGTGTTCGTGAACATTCTACTTTTTGTCAACAAGAGCCAGTTGAGGAGAAGCAGCACATGGTCAACCTGGGGATGTATCAGGGGGTCCGGATTGTGGTGGCAGAGCCTTGGAGAAATCGTTAAGCTCTCAGTCCTGCCGTTTCCTTCACGCGTAGTCGTGTTTCAACTCGAACAGGTATTTCTCGAACAACAACTGTTTCTTTCTGCAGACCGATAATTACCAATATACTCTCGCAATATAAACAAGCAATTTGAGAAGAAAAAGCGCACAAAGCTCATACATACAGCTCATACAAATACAGCTCATACAAGTTCAAAGGGAAGCGAATGTCACACATAATTTTTCACCACCCTGTATGCTTGGAGCTCGCTAATGTTTCTCGCAATAGGTCCTAAATACAAGGAGCCAACGCTGAAAATCGGCACTTGTTTGGTAGGCGTTCTACGTTGTTTCTTGGCGATTATTATTTTCTTTCATTATCAAGAAAATATCGCTCAATTTTCCCAATTTAGCTGTGCGATCTTTCTGCTAATCTGTACGTGTGCTCTTGAATGGTGGTAGCCCAGGATAAGCTCCTGCTAATCCTGATCTTTCCTGAGCTCTGAACATGAGCTCCTTTATGGAGCTAGTAGATGTCCCCTCCTGCTTTTTCCTAGAATAGGCTGAGCGCGCTTATAAAGACCCTAAGGCACTAACGATTCTCCGTCTCCCCAACATGCTGAAATGTAACGGCCCAGACCTCACGCGATTGCGACGACCGCTTCTATTAGGTCGGTCCATAAGTCTTGCAACAAACTGGCCGAATTTTGAATTTAATATTTTCATTATCTTTTTGTTCCATTCATCCGGCATGCTACCCTCCATCAATATCTACAACCTATTGCCAACACACTAGTAGCTGCTCGATGCCTCCCTTGTAGGACTCTACTGAATTCTGATCGAAGAAAGATCAGATGTCGATTTTGACATCATCATAGTTAGGATGAGCTTTCTTCTCTAGGAGATGGTTTGGAGAGGGGAAGCAGAAGGGCATTATTTGCCGAGGTCAGGGCTATAACGTGGATACAGACGAGACCGCGCGCGCCTCCGCAGTACATCGAAGCAGATTTCTTACGCCAATTCTTCTACCATTTAGTCAAAGATGTGGCTGTCACGGAATCGTGTCACATACAAGACAGACAATTTTTTGCCCCGCCACTCTTTGGCCTTTGTTTTCTATTACATATCTAAAGAATGACATTGCAGTACGTAGCCGCGGCTGTGATAGACTTCCCGCGTTTGAGCTACATCTAACGCGTAAGACGGTTGCCCAGAGCGAGCTTTTTGCTCAGTTTCATAATAATCCCGAGAAGGCCCGATAACACGTGGACCGAGTGTTCAAACGTTCTATGAAGCAAAAAGATCTCCCGAAGCGTTTGAGCTGGACTACCGCCGCTTGTTCATTTGTTAGTAAACTGTACCCACTCCTCATCTTCGGCAAATGTGATGGATGGTCAATCGTAGAATCCCTAGTAAGTCGACTTGAACATAACGGTGTCAGATCGTGTTTGGAGCTGAATCGGGCTCAAGGCACGTGGACCAAACTCTACATTTTCGGATCTTCACAAGTCTTTGGAGATGCCACAGTGCTGTCTCCTTGTCGCATCGGAATCGCTCTAGCAAATGATCGATACTCTATCCAGATCCCTTTTCAACGCCGTCAGATATAGCATCGTGATTGTCAGTCACAGGGTGGTTGGAGTGTGGGTTATTTTCAAATAAAAAGTCAACGCTGAGCAGAGTGAAGCGCCGTTGCACTGTGGTTTGAGAGAGCTTGCCCTCGCCTATCTTCTGGCCAATCCTTGGTCTAGCATGACTTGCGGAACATTCCAAGCAGTACTCGTAAAAATTAAGGGCATCGAGAGCCCTCTCGCGAAATCGGTGTAATATCCATAATAAGTAAGCAGACAACGAGCTGGACCGTTGGCTGAAATTGCAAAGGTGATGCTACGTCAGGAAATATGTTGCGGATTTTCAGGAGTTCTCCCTAAAATTCTATAGCATTAAATGTAGTTTGTTGCAAGACTTATGGACCGACCTAATATTTTCGTATCGCGCTCTCATCCGTTGTGCTCTTTCGCCTATTCTCTTTCGTTCATGCTCTGTTCTATTGCCTTTAGCACAGAGGTGAGCAAGCAAGTTATTCGCTCTCTTTCATTTCTCCTTGGAGAGATGTACCCACTCTTACCTTACCCCGCTTCACTATGTCCAACATAGCAGATCAATTTTTTTGTCAATTAATTGCGTCTTCCATTTCACATGTGCTGTTCTGCGCCACTGGCTTTTCTGATTTCCCCATTAAAGAGATGCTAAAAGTGCATACCTGCATCTTTTCCTTTTGCAGTTTCTTTTCCTGTCACTGAAATTATGAGTTGTAGGGTGAGCCAAAATGTTGATAATGTCAATCGCCTTCAA